GTAATGTGTTAATAAATGAGTCAGTATCCAGCATGTGATTGTAGCAAACTATGTTTTTACTGCACAATGAATCACTGAGCATGATGAAAGATTAGCAGTCTAATTTGTATAGTCACTGGCATGTGTGAATTCCATGAAATACACCAGTTGAAGCCAAAGGAAATATCTGTATAATCTTCACACGTGGTGTCTTTGCAACAATGATGCAAGAAGCAGGTTTTGAATTAGTGCACGATGGGCCTATTAATTAAACTGGCCAGACTGACTTCTTTAACAGGCCATCATGGCGACCACATGTTAGCCTGTTTCTTTAGAACTTTTCTGACATGGAAACTGCATTAATTATTCCTGTTATTTAGATATGTTCAAATCAAAGTGCAAACACTAACTTTTGCGTACATACCATGTCATTGTAAACAGAGAGGCGTACCTTCTCTTAAGTTTTTGCAGTCATGCACCACTGTCGTGATGATGGTGTGAGCTTAAGCTGAGCCCTGCTTATATTGTTTAGAGGAGCAATACTTTCCTTGTCAGATCTTATTCAAATATGATACAACTAGTGTGAGTGTCTAAAAGTGCAATCAGCCTAATTGGTAACAGGCTTAGCAGCAGTGGAGATGAGTAATGCTGTCAGGCTACAAAAGCATAGATTATTGAGTTTTGTCTTGGGAGTTTTTCGGAAACATGTAAGTCTTGACACTACAGGAAAGTGGCTATTTCAATTTGTTGTGCATCATCTCAGTGAAAAAACTAATTCAGCCATAGATTTGAATGTGTTGTCTTTTTCTTGTCTTTTCCATAAGAAGTCCTTTGTTACTGCTTGGTGACAAATTTGAAGCTTTGTTACAACCTTGTTGTCTCGGATGTTTTGTTGTTTTGGAAGGCCTAAGTATTTTTGACTTCTGTTCCAGCTTCAGACATCAAAAATCATTTTAGTAGAAACAGCATAAAAGTCCTCCAGTCTCTTATACTGCTGACTTGCCTTGTTCCACAACATAATTTCCCCCTTTCACTCCAAGGGCTGCTCAGCAATCAAATTCAAAACCTTAATTACTGTAATTGGTAGATGCAAATTAACAGCAATTGGACTTGACTGGGGTCATAAATCCACATCTCAGAAGCTGCCGAACTTCTGGCAATTCAGAGTGGACCACCGTAGGCCGGGGTGCTTAACTTACTTAGTAATTGCAAGTTTCATGAATCATAATGCTTATGAATTCCCCCTCGGCACACACACGGGCCCAGTGGGACTCCACTTTAAGCCACTGGGAGTCATGGTAAACTGAATGAGAAGCCACTGTGAAGCTTTGGCCTCTCCACAACAGAAATACCATGGAGAGTTGCTGGGTGCTAATGGTGTTTGGCTAATGACATTTCGAGCCACAGACAAAGAACATCAAAACCTAATTTTCTTTTTTTAGAATGTCAGTATCTTCTGGCTATTACTTGTTCGTGTTCACGTAGCATTTGTTCTTTCAGTTCAACTACAAATTAGTTGGGCTCTGCTCAAAACAAAAGAACATGAACACTCATGACTCGTAAAAATTGCACCACTTTGTACAGATCTGTTTAGCTTGACTTGGTCAAATAAAGTCTGAGATCTCAATGAAATTTCTTCTCAGTATGTTCAACACATAGAGCAGTAGCAGAGGGCCTCATCTCTCTTAGACACATACTTACAGGAACAAATACACACACATTCACACACATACACATTTACATCCACTTCTGCCCCTGTTGAATGTGCAAGTAGACATATATTACATGTGATTGTTGAGGAAATGAAGTGAAAAACAGGTCTGGGGTTGCGGGTTCAGGTTGCGGGTTTCAGAGTGACGAGATCCAGAAGCCAGCGGCGCTTGGTATTACCCCGGTGCTTCCTGCCCCACTGGCCTGGGCCAGGGGATGTGGAGGGTGTGGTTGAGAGGGGGAGGTGGGAGGCCATTGAAAGCCAAGAGCCATGAGACACCCTGCCCCACAGGATCCTCTCGGCAAGAGGCTTTAATACAACCCACGGCTCCCACACTCCTACCATCAAGCCCTGAACCTCAACCAGATCCCACTGTGGTTTGTTTTACAACCTTGAACCACTGTTAGCCTTCAAAACCTCAGCATGGTAATCAGGCTCTCACAAGATTCCACTTTCGCTCTTTTTCAACAAACGTTTTTTTCTTATTTACTCAATGGCTCTGTCTCAATAACACAAACTATATTTTCTTTTGCTTTTTACAATTCATTCTCTCCTATCATGCAAGTTTTATATTCCAAGTCGGCATGTTATTTCAACACAGCTGTGTGCAGCAGCAAAGTAAATCCCTTACTGGTTACACCTAATACCACCGAGGCATGGACCAGCTGTGTGAGTCTGTATGAGCTTATTTGTTGTTTATCTTTATTAGCTAATTATTAACTTATTATTAACTGATGTGTTATTCATTTGCCCAGAGGGTTCCTCCTCAAATCCGATGACCAAACAATCCCAAATCTGCAACAGGTTAAATACTCAGTCTTCCCTACAAGTCAATCTTATAACACAAATCATGACTGATGCTCTGCCCAGCACATGCATAGACCCAAAGAATCCTGAACAGAAGAACATAACGTGCAATTAATTGCCTATTTGCAAATTTGTCTGTTCATCTTCCAGAGGAATTGGTCACATGATTAGCTTTTCTCTCCATGATGAAGTTCTAGTAAATCTCTTTCCAAGTCTTGCATTTTCGATACACAACATTGCCATGTCTTCACTATTTTGTGTGTTTTCCACTTGAGGAGCTTGGGGCTTGAGTCTTTTACTTCGGGCCATAATAATATTAGATTGAAGCCCTCATATTTCAGCGCTGATGTAAAATCAGCCTAGTGGCTTTTCAGAGTCAAATTGGATTTAAATTGTGTCAGAAGAGGGAGAGATGTTTTTTACAATAATAGCCGTGAATGCCATGAAACAGAGCATTTTTGCTGCAGAGCTTTTGATCCATTTTTATAAATAGCAGAATTTTGTCATAAAAAATAATGTTTCTGTGGTCTTTTCCTGCAATTAAAATAAGTTTGGCTCAGGAACAAGGGCAAAACTAAGTACTTGTATTTGAGGAGAATTTCTCTCCCTCTTCAAACTCCCATCCAGGCCTCCCCCACCACCGCCTAGCCTTCCTCAGCTGCGAAAGCATGTCATCATGTACCATGTCACCACATGATAGTGGCAGGCAGATGTCTAGTAATGGCAGACCTAGAGACTCTGCAGAAGGGTGTGTTCCACCTGCCTTGCTCTGTATTTTTTTTTTTTTTTTTTTTTTTTCAATTTCAATCTATATGGTTGGCAGAGTGAGTGACATGCTTTCCCGTGGTATTTTCTGATTCCTCCAGGCCAAGCAGTGTGGTCTTTACATGACCAATCAGATACGTCAAACCACCAGTGTTTTTCCCCCACATGTACAACAAGAGAATCTGGCTTCAATTATTATTGCACCCCAAGGGGAACTTCCAAAATTCCTCCCTTCCTCATTTGTCAAAAATGAAGCTCTCGTTTCCTGTGATTGGCTGAAATATGTCTTTTGATATTAAATCACACTGGTTTCCACTGGCTGCATGACCAAGACAAATGTTTATCATATTTATTTATGTCATTGGAGATGACCCTGCTGCTCAGCAATGCAGCGACTTGGCTGCAGACTCCCATGTAATGTTGATTATGAGTAAGAGAGTCTCCTAAATAAGCTGAAGTTAAGAGATAATTTGGAAAGCATATGAGGTAACTGTGGTTTGTTTAATGTGAAAAATACAGTTTGGGGTTGGGGAGGGTGATGGAGGTACTGTTACAAAAGCCCTAATGAATCTAGACTGACACATCCCACCCAAAACTTACAGGGCTCTTAGTTTGATTTATATTATACTCTGTTGATAAATGTGGTTCCAAATGTTGATTAAGGATCTGTTTCACTTGTTTGTATGTCAACAAATCCAGTTATGCACCTCTGATCTCCCATTGCCATTGTTTTTGTACTTGGTGCTTATTGTCATAACATCACGCTCTGGTAGAGGCCTTTCCAGTGTGGCTATGGAGGGGAAACGCTATATGAAAATTACCATTGACGTTGCAGAAACAAATAAAACTACTCATGCTGCCACTACATCTGTAGCCATTTTAAGCCGTTATTTATACCATTTAAGCTCTCATTTGAACTCACCAGCACAAATAAACATATCATAATGAAACAAAAGCCCTGATGTCATATGCAGATGTTGAATTTTGATTATTCCTGTTGCCTTGTTAATTTGTCAGGATCTTGTCTCTCACCGGCAAAATAGATGACATCATTTTTTCTTGGCACTGATGGGACAGTTTTACTCACTTGACTGTAGCAGTTCAGAGTCAGCGCTGCCCACTCCTGACTTATCTCTACATCATTTTTTTTTTTTACCATATTTCAGTTTGTGTATTCTGTAGAAGTCCTGTGTTTCTCAAGACAGAAATAGAAAAAAAGAGTCCGCAAGATCCCTACTCTCCAGACTACTGTGGCATGAAGCCAGGGCCTTAAGCAATGTTTACTGCTAATGATAAGCTGGCTTGAATCAGACTTTTATAAAAGGCAAATCATTTCACCTGAGGCCTGTTAGGTTATTTATCTGAGGTCTGGCTGTAAAAACTGAGCAGGCAAATGGAAGAGAGAAGTCAGTAGTTGTTGGGGCCCACTGCCAAGACCTTTTTACTGGCACTCTGTAATAGACTACCTAGTCTGCTCCTAGGGTCATGCGCTTTATTGTAATTGAGTACATAAAGTACACCCTGATCCATTGGGCGACCCCTGCAACATCAAATTATTAATTTATACATATACATGAACATCTGCTTGTTGAATGTGACGACACTTCTCTCTGCAATGTGTTGTGAACAAGGTGCACTTTCCTAGGTCTTAGCCTGACCTGGTCTTTCAAGGATTATTAGCACGCTACATGATTTGCATTGACCCAATCAAAGAGCCTTTTCCCTCTCTTCCCCCCAGACGTGCACTGAACCTTGGCATCCTGCGTGATCCAGGTTCAGAGGTGGAGGACCGTCAGTACCAGGTCGATCTCCAGTCCATCACCATTGGAACGGCTCAGTGGGAGCAACTTAAGCCAGAAAAGGAGGGAATGAAAGGTGGCGTGTCCGCAGAGAGTGAGAGGAACTCGCAGAACCCAGCCCTGGAGTGGAACATGGCCAGCAGGTTAGGAGACACTATATCACCCACACAAGTCATCTGTAAACTGTCAACCATGTACATAAGTGGTCATGAGCAGAGGAAATGAATGGAAGGTGAAATAATACATTTAACTAGCTAGATATTTTCCTTAAGACTTCGCAGATCCAAGAATGGCCTAAATATTCCATGATTAATTACATAGTCAGTAGAATGCTTGTGTTGCTCTGTATCTGCCATAGACTTTAAGCAGGCATTTCTTTTAAACTGTTGTTCTGACTGCATTATCAAAATGCTAAATGGTGTCCTTTTGTTTTGCAGCATTTTGGGGGTAAAACATGCATTATTTGAGTATGTTTAGCCACAGCTGCATGACTCAATGAGTGGCAGTTGGTTGGCATGATTTCCAGAAGATAATTACTAATGACTTATCCCTTGACTCCTTGTCATAACATTACCAGCAGGTTAGATACTTCACCTATCCAAGGAAATATCTCAACATTTTCAAAATGGATTAGTTGAAGCAATTGGTGTGCAAACCACACACACATATAAGGCTCCTTTATTATTTTTTAAGTTGACAGTCGAGTTTTTTTATTTATTCCATTATTATCCTTTATTGTTATTATTACCACTTGAGAAGCTCCGTCTTCACTTTGACATTTACCTTATTCACACTTCTTTCTTGTGCTCAACCACGTAATATCCTAGCTTTTGAACATATTTTACGTCAGATCAGATTTCAGGTTCTATATTAAATTTCGGCCAATAGTTCCCTTTCACCTAAATCTTACACACTGGACCTTTAACTGAGACCTGGTGACTACAGCCAGTTCCTTGAGCTTTGTGCACCCAACTATGAATATCTAAGCACTCCCAGCGACAATGGCCGGGAGGATGGCCTAACTGTTGTTTTTAAAAATGTTTAACTTGTTTCCCCATTACTAAAGATACATTTTCTAGTTTTGAAGCTACTATGTTCAAAACATGTAGCACTGCTCCTGTCCTTGGCCTAGTGATTTCTCGCACTCCCAAACCAAAACTAAATTTTGCCAATGAATTCTCTTAATTTTTTTTTCATTTCAACAAAACATTGTTTGGGATTTTTAAAATCCACATTAAGGATCCAACCAAAGGAAAGGAAATGGAAAAAGACCAAATTGCATGTCCACTACCTGTATATGAAAGACTTTGACTTCTAATTATAACAAAAGTAAAGCAGCAAGAGCAAATTATTTCTCAAAACTAATCACCAGCACCATAATCCCAGGTACCTTAATAGACTTTCTGCCCTGCTTCCCCTTTCAAATACCGACTTTGAAAAGTTTTTATCTTTTTTTAGCAAAAACTCACAGAACTTATATTGTACCATCTACTATACTGACATTCCGAATATTGCTGATTATCCTGCCTGTGTTCTTCTCCTTGACATGCTACCCAGCTCACTCCTAAAAGAAGTGATCAGTGCTATTGGCTCTAGCCTTCTGGAAATAAGTAATTGCTTTCTTTCTTCTGGCTGTGTCCCTGATTATTTTAATAAAGCCAGCATTCAGCCATTACTGAAAAAAATGAATCTCAATAAGTCATTCCCACAGAATTATAGGACCATTTCCAAAACCCTGTTATCCAAAATTATTGAAAAGGTGGTTCTAACCCAACTTTTAGCTTTGTGTGATGATAATAACATTTGTAATAAATTCCAGTCTGGATTTTGCAATCGACACAATACTGAAACCACTCCCAGATATTTTATCATTCCTACACTAATGACACCCAAATCTATACCTGTCTTTTAAACCAGACAATGTCAGCCACTTGAGCATCTTAACAGAGTGCCTCACTATCATCAAGGAATAGATGACTCCCTTCAGCAATATTTAAACAAAACAGAAATGATAATCTTTGGTCCCAATCAGCGAGCAGGAAAAAATGTCTCAGTCCACATGGCAACCAATATAAAAACAACACCAAAAATTCTCAACTGAATTTTAAAACTCATCATTAAATCCTGCTACCTCCACTTATGAAATATATCCTAAATTGAATCAGTTTATCTTTCTAGTAACATGTTTGCAGCTTGTTCAAATTACTCCTACTTGAATTTTAACCGAAACAAACAGTAGGAGTCATATCACACCCATCCTTGCATCCCTTCACTGGTTGCCGGTCTAATTCAGGATTGATTTTAAGATTCTTTTTTTAATAACTTTCAAAGCTCAACGTGGGCTGATGCCTAATTACTTTACCGAGCTCTTGACTCCCTACACTCTTGGTCACAACCTGATATCAGCTAGCCTTTCCTTGATAGCTGTCCGTAGGTCAAGGCTGGCTACTCTGTCAGGGCCTCAAGGCTCTGGAACTCTCCACTTGACAAGTTTAGGCTCGCCAACTCACTATCTGTCTTTAAATCACTGCTCAACACTTATTTTTTTATAAGAAAGCTTATTTAACGTGTGATTGATAACTCTGGTGCCACTGTGTTGTTTTAATTCCTTTTCTTCCTTTTTATCTTCCTTTTATTGCAACTATAATTTATATAGTTTCTTAAATGGGGCAGTTTTTGACTGTTGCCTATGACAGTAGTGGTTCAGTTGAAAGAGGTAACCCCCCTCTCTTCTTCTCCCACCTCTCCTCTATTCCCCATTTTTCTCCACTCATTCCCACTGGTCGAAGCAGATGGCCGCCCACACTGAGTCTGGTTCTACTTCTGGTTCTGCTAAGGGAGTTTTTTCTCTCTGCTGCTCATTGTGGGAACTGTTGGGTTCCTCTATAATATTTATGGTCTCGACCTTAATATGTTAGGATTTGGCATTTAAAATTGAGATGAATATGTCCCTCACACCTATTATTTTTGTATTTGTTTTTATTGCCTTGTATTTTGTGAGGCACTTTATAACCTTGTCAGGATAAGCACAATACAAATAAAGTTGTTATTTATATTATTATTATTATTTCAATCCATTATCTATTCCACTTATCCTCCATCAGACATGCCATCACATGGCCAACATACTGAGAAGGAACGGTGGAATTCACACCTTCAGGCTGAGTCGATAATTAATACCTGCATGTCTTAATTTAGAGTAAGCTGGAGTAAGCAGCAGGCACAAGAAGAACATGCAAAGTCCACGCAGCTGGCAGTTTCAAACCCAGAGCTTTCTTGTTGTGAGGCGACAGTGCTAACCGCTGCACCACCATGCCACCCTGAATGGAGTGTTATGACCTTGATTCTCATTTCTTATTATAAATCATTACACCCTTTGTCAGGTGCTGTTTGTGTGATCTGCTGTGAATGTCTCATGATTCATCTCATCAGTCTTAATGTGGGAGCAGCATGTTGTTATTAAATTAGCGCCCTATCATGGAGCCATCATGTTCAGTCATAATTACAAACCCTGTCATTTTTTTTATAGACTCGGGAGCTAAAACATGCATGAGTGTAACAGCCTGTTTGGCCCCACAACCTTTTTTTTCCACTCGTGTTTTAAGAGGGAACAGTCCCAAAACTCACAGAATCACAGGCAACGAGTCCAGATTTGTTCCCTGTCAACTAAAAATAAGCCTTGTGGAAGAATTCAGTACAGAATCAACACAGGCTTGATTGAGACTGAGAGCTCACAGGTCATCACAGCTTAGTGAGGCTGACTGTGATACTCACACCTTTCACACACACACAGGCAGGCCCAGGCACACTGTAATGCACGTGCACACAAACCCTCATTCATATTCATTATGTAAACTATTTTCTTTACTTCTTTTTAACAGTCATATACACACAAATCTTTGCATACACGTACACAAACACACACACACTCACTGAATATTTGGAGCTCTGCCAGGAAAACACAGACTGCTGCTGGTGAAACTAATGCTGAGCCCTCTTCTCTCAGACTGCAATAAGATCCTTTATTGTGACAACCACTCAGGATTTATTTAAAGGAGACCCATTCTTACAGTTTCTTCTTCCTGCTTTGGGGTCTAGCTACCGTGTACTTTTAACAACATTGGACATTGCTTGTCTAAGCAATGTCCAAAAACATTCAAAAATGTCAGCCAACCTGTTCATGGTCTAAAAGATGGTAAAAGTGGTTATGCGTTCAGGCCAAACTTGTTTGGTTCTTTGAGTGAATGGAACAGAGCTTTTAGACTGGTTTATGTGTCCCACGCATGATTGCTATGTGCTGCTGATAAACAAAAACAAATTATTTCTTACATGAAATGAATTTATCATTTTAAAGCTGTTGTGTTTTATCATTGGTCTGTGCTGATTTCTCTCTCCCCAATAGTTTTGACCAAATCTCATTGTTATGCTTTTCTTGACCTGTTAAACCGCCCTCATAAGTAGTGGACTTGGACCTAGGTTAGTGTTCTACGCTTCTACTATACTGAGTCTGACAAGTCTGACAAGCTTATTTGACCAAAGGGCTACTGAGGCTTGAACCACATTTGTTCTTTCTTGCTGTCAGCATGTCTCTGTCAATGAAAACACGGCTGCCTGGGCCCTGTGCCAAGGCCAGATTGTCTAAAAGGGCAATGAGGTGAGATTCTGGGCTCACACTTTGGGCTCCAGAAGATACTAAATGCATTTTCAGAAGGTTCAACTTTCTTAAGTACGTCTGGATTTGTATTCAGAACTTGATTATAGGATAGCCTGAAATGTAGCTTAGCAGTTACTTTTATACTCAAAGGATTTAAAACTATTGCTTTCACTGTGACTTTTCATAACCGCATCTATCAATCAGATGTTTTTATCTAAGGATCACATCAAATTGTGTCTGTTTAAATGTCAACTGAATTTCTATTCCACTCCAACATAGCTCTTTTTTTTGTGTTTCCTCTCATTCCTTTACATTTTTTACATCTAAATATTTCAATTCACACCAGTAAGCAGTCTCTGTTTGGTCATGCTGGGAAAGTCAAAGTTGCTGCTGTCGTTAAGGCTTGTAAATTTCACCCTCGCACTCAGTTTTAGCTTCCAAACAAATCATTCAAGGTGGTTGTGGTTGCCTCTCTCCATGCTGTGGCAGGAACAGCAATGGAGGCCCAGTTGGAAAACAGGCTTTGCTGTACTACTGTGTGCGGCATGGTATACCCCAGCCACAGTCACCACCCAAATCTAGTCACGACTGAGCATGTGATTTAGAAAGTTCTAAGTTCACAGCTTTGCTTGCCTGCTACAATCACCAGCAGTATGCACCTCCTTGGTTACAATTAGTTTTGACACGCACCACTTCCAAAGTTTGCACCTTTCCGTCATTCCCTTCATCGATACCCTCGCCCCACCCACCTCTGTCCAGCTCTGGAATTGAGGCATGTTCACTCTGCACTTTTTGGGGGGTCAGTTCCAGTAGTTGCGGATCTGCAGTGGCCTCATTTGGCTTCCTGAGGTTTTGGGAGGAAATTCCAGCACCATGGATCCACTGACAGGATCTGTCCTCGTCACAGTGTGTAGTTGCCGGCTAGGAAAGACCCAGTGTCAGGGAGCTGTGAACTCTCTCATCTCCCCTCATGTCAGCCCCCCTGTGCTGGCCTCTTTCTTTTTGTCCATGCCACTGATATCTCCACCCACTGTCCATACTGTTTACTTTTGCATGTAAGAGACATTTTTTTCCATCCGTTTTTGTTTGCACCACACACATTCGAAAGTGCACGCATTCATAGGCACACTGGATCCAGTCAGAGGACCCCATGTTATTGGTAAACCGAGACTCGCACCTCATAGCTTTGCTGGTGACTGATAGCACCTGTCCACTGTAACAAGACACTCGTTGTTTCAATCGCTGTCTGAGGGGAGATTAGCCAACACCAATTGGCCTCACAGATCATTTGACCTCTGAATTAGGCCTCCCTCTAGCTCTCAATGTAAAGAAATGTGTCAGAAAATAATCCCTTAAGGGCACTGGTAATGCACATTTGTGTAGCAGAAGTGAATATGATATTGGTTCTGGTTAAGTACTGTACTCTAGGCCACCTAGAAACAGGGCTTTTTATAATCCTGGCCAACTATAAATATTGGAAGCCGTGCCCCTTGATTGTTTTAATAGCAGCAGATGTGGCAATTAACACCACCTTATAAAGCCCACTTGTATATTTGTTTTACTGCTAACAAATGTTCCCACAAATATGAGCTGATTGTGGGAATGAACATTAGTGAAATGGAGAGAGTTGATGTGAGAAGCTCTCAGTTTGATCTTGTGTATACAATTTAGGGGTGTTCTCAATTGAAACTTGTCAAATAATGTCTCACTCTCCCTTTAAAACCATATCCAAGCATGCAACTAAGATGTGTTAGACCAGAACTTTAAAAAAGACTAGAAATATTTTACAGGTCAGATCTGCAAAACCAAATTTTGAAGTCTTGTATTTTGAGTTCAGCTTGTCATCCCACTGGTTTGATTGTGAAAAGCCAGATCAAGTTTGAAATGTCTGTCTGTCAGCTAAGGCATAACAATAGTTCAGTTGAGAGCATTTTGTGGTTTTGACTGTATTGTGTTGACTTCGATCTTAGACAGCTGAGACAGTGTTACAAAGATTTTACAACTGGTAACCATAACAGGTTATTAGTAAATAAAGTGTGGTCCCTTATGGTTAGTGTTTATTGTAGTATAATGTTCAAATTACTTCAACACAACGTGATAAATATTTTAACAATGAAAATGTCCGTGGAGTTGCTGTCAGGTAAATTATACTTAAGCCTACTTTAAAGTTTATATCTCCAACTGGAGAACTGTTATTTCTTATTATATTATGTTCTCCACATGTTGGAGTTCGATTCCTTTTTCTTAGATTTCAGAGAAAACTAGTAGCAACGTACTAGTTATGGAACCTGCCTGATGCAGTATCAGTTAACAGTTTAATCCGGTTTGTATCTCTGGACAGTATTCGGAGGCACCAGGAGCGCCGGGCCATCCTGACACCAATCCTGACTGACTTTTCTGTTCGAGTGACAGCAGCCCCAGCCATCATCTTCAGCAAGAGTCTGTCTCCAGACAGTGCACAGACAGAGGTCAGTTTCCACACACCTTTTGATGAATTCATCAATACAGCATTCTCTTCTCTTTTTTTTTAATTTTCCACAATAGAATTTATCTGTACTGTGGCAAAATAAATAATATAAATATATAATAAAAAGACTTCTCTTAAAAATTCACAGTCGCACAAAGAGGTTGCATGTTTTCCCCCCTCTGCTTTGTAGAGGTTGGTTCACTACTTTCACTGATATCTTGTGGCCTTTGACCTTGACCTGTTACAGTCATGATTACAACCATTACTCTCACAATCCATTGATCATATGAAAATAGACACAGATTATGTCAGATGTCAGAAGTATTTACGTTTCGCCTCAGAACATACAGTAACACACTCATTAGGAATCCCTCAGCCAGTCTGCCATGTAATGGAGGCTTTTGACCCACAGAGTTCAAACCTTTCTGCTTATACAGCTGATGTTTTCTGGCACAGCTGCCTGAGACTTCCTGTCTTTTTGAAGCTTTGTCCGACCACGCTAACGTGCCCCTTGACAATGCATAACAGCTAATCCATAGTTTATACTGACACACACACACACACGCACAGTTTTGTCTCCATGACTTCAGAGGACATTGGATTGACTTATTGATGTTATGGGGACATACTTTATGTCCCAATAAGAGATAATAATGTGATGTACGTCCCCACAAAATCAGTAATACCTATATCGCCTAATCCCACAATTTACCTTCACCCTAATCGAAACATTAAAATGTATATTATATCTTTATAAAATTACCAAGGTATTTATAATATTATAATTTACAATTTACATTCTACAATACTCAAATCTGCAATACTACAACAATGACTGACAATACACTCCATATGTTTCAGTAATCTAAATAAGAAAAAATTGTATTATTAATGTTGCCGAGGATATTGAATAAAATATTACATGTCCCTTTATGCTTTTAAACAGTAGGTCTGAATAAACAATGTTTACACAGCAGTTGCCAATGCCATTGTGTGTAGTTACTGTAGATGTGGTTTGTGTGTGGTTCACCCAAAATGTGTTAGTGAGTGATATCCTGTTGGATGTAGCCTCTGGGCAGAAGTTAAAACTGCTGGCTGTGGGTGTATGTTGGGGGGGGGGGCAAAGGGACAGAGTTGACGGAGAGAGCAACTGAGCTAAATGCAACAAGATAGAGGAAAGTTAAAGTAAATAGACTGAGACAAACTAAATGAGACCAAGAGTATAAAAGTGTAAAAAAAAAAAAGAGAAGCAATTCTTGAGTTCACAAACAATCCTGATTTGTTACTGAATGGTTTTCTTGCTTCCTCCACCCACCTCCCTCTTCTTCACCTCTCCCTGCACTGTCTCCTTCATCTGTTTAGGAAGTGGTGGTGTGCGGCCACTCTCTGGAGGTGAATGTCACCAGCAGTCTGGACTTTTACCTGAGCATCGGCCAGCTGCAGCTCTTACAGCAGCTTGTCAGAGACAACATGGTGGGGATAGACACTCCTGAGAAAGGTGCTGAGGTAAATACTGCAACCAACAAATGAGTACAAGCACATATGGACACGTGCACGATAACATTCACTTTCCAAAGCCACGCATGAGGATGTACATTTATACTGGAATAACTTTACCTGGACACAATCTCTGTTTTCTGTGCATTTAAGTATTTATACAAAAAACTGAACAAAATCATGTGACAAAATCCCCCACTTATAGTATTGAATCTTTTTTTCAGTTTTGCATGTGAATTCACTTTTTTACCCTTGTGTTTATCAGAAAAATTTAATGTTGAGCTGGTTAATTAGTTATATTTATATATTCTTTCATCACACCTTGGCCCAAGACCACCTTTCTCTCATAATTAATGGCTTGTTAATTTTTTGCTCCAAAATCCATCATGACCGTTTTCCTTATACAGTTCCCCAAACTATTGCCCCTGAGTATTTGGGGTGAATCTAACACATTTAAATATTTACTCACTCGGAGCAAGGCAGTTCTCTAATGTGGCCTTAGTTTACTGCTCTGTGCTCAGCTGCAGCTTTCAAGGCCCTTCCTAATGTTTACAGGACAGGGAGCACCCAGGCGCCATTTGCCCTGTCTGACCGCTTAATAAAGCTTTCTAATGGAACACAATATAAAAATATTTACCAGCTGTGGTGAGGATGCGAGTCATAGAAGAGTGAAGGGGACAACGGAGAGAAGAGGAGGGGGATGCAATGAAATTTAAAGAGTTGACAGTGATTTTATTGTTATCTCTGCTTGGGATTCTTTCTGGAAGGATGTGCGTACGACAGCACAGTGACTGCATCTGATGACTCAGAGCCTGTAAAGCATTGGTAAGAAAAGAGCAGCAGGTGGGCCAAAACTAATATTTAGCCTCCACAATGAAAGTTTTCCTTTGCTAGTTTGCATTAAAAAATGAAAATTACCACCTCAAACACAAATACAGGAGATACCAGTCATAGTGATAACCTGCCATATGAGCCTTTATAAAAGAAAACTGCTCTCGATCTCACTTTCTAATCAGAAAAAGATAATTATGATACAAATTTAGTCATATACTCAAAACTAAAACATTACAGCACATAGGCCTCCAACCTCATGAAGGCCTCTACTAGTTTGATGATTTCTTTTCTTCATTAATTTATTTTGTTATTTATATAGTTGCTCTTAAGGAGGGGCCTGCTGTGCATCTGTTCTTGATTTTAGTGATCTGTGAGCCCTCTCCCCTGCTTGTAATGATTCATGGCTTGATTCTGTTGAGGGGCAGCTAACGGCTGCAGAGGGTTCATCCAGGTTTAAGGCAGGATGAGAAAATTCATCAGTTATTCTGGGAGGTCCACTGGTAACAGTTTTAAAAAAAGGATTTTACTCCTTTTAAAAAGGGTCATTTTGATCGGATTTAGTTTCTTCTGATGGTGTAAGCTGAGTTTTTTTTCCTACGTTTTCAGCAACAAATTCAGACATATGTCGTTTCAGCAGGAGGAGCTGGGGTTTAAGGGTATTGCTTAAGGGCATCGTGACAGTAGCTGCTATGTGTTAAGTCCTTTTTTCCACAGCCATGTTTCGCAGTTTATCTGGGAATTTGAACTGTCAAGTTTTTGTTAAGACATTTGTATCCAGCGGCTATGTTAAAGCTGCCTGTAGATAGATTAAGTGAAATTGAAATGACCCCAGATCTGGAGTGATGCAATCCAGTGATCATCCATCTTCTGTAGAGAGAAGAATATATGCCTGGGAAAATTCCTCTTTTTCATTTAATATCAGCTTTTTGGGCACAGTTGTTGGGAACTCTCTTATTTTACATTTTACTTTTATTATTCCATATTAATTTCAGGTGCATTACACCATGTTCCTGATTCGTTCAGTTTTATAGTATTGCCATTATAGAGTTTACCAGCATCATTAACACTGAGGTCAGTTTGTGTATGTCCTCACCTTTGTGCAGCTGCACAGCACAGAGGTTACTCTGAGTAAATGTGGTTTGGCTTAGGCTTTTTGACACTCTTTGTAAAACCATTTGTACTTCAGGGTCATAAGTCTTTTGGTGACGGCATCTCCACGGCTGCTTGACCCACTCTTGGCAGCAGGGACGTCAGTGTCAGTTAGAAATGATGCGGCCTGGTGCTTTTTGGTCTGCAGAAGCTCATTCTTCATGCTGCAGAGCCCTCTAGTGGCACATTTATCTACAGCATTGAGTTGTTACATGCTCAGAGCCCTGGTCTTGAGGGCAGCGCGTCTTCACTCGAAGTCTGCCCGACCAGCACCCTGTCTACCCCTTGCTAACACATTAGACACATTGCAATCAAATAATCAGTAGTACAGTACGTGTGCTGAGTTGTGACTGAGTTGTTATAAATAACAATCATAAAGTTCATATGTATTTCCATAGCTAGTTTCCACAATATCACAATCTGGATTTGGAACATGTGCCTGTTTCTGTATTGCTTTGTTTTTAATTCAGTTTTAAGTTTAGTAATGATATTTATAGTGTTTGACAGTATTGTTTGTCCCTCCTTTATACAACCTGTTCGAAGAATTCAATTAAAAACAGGTTCCGATCTCAAGCATCTGGTACAGAGAAACTGTTTTGTTGTTTGTGTTTCAATAAAGTATCTCAGCTCTGACAGTCCGCACTGCCTCCAGTTAAAGATTAAATTAAACTCTGCCCCTTGCTCACTCTTTCTTAATTCCAAATCTTTTCTTCTCTTTTCTAAGCTTTGTTTAAATTCTTGGACATTTTGAGAACATTCTGTGGGCCTTGAACAGATTCTATGCAGATTTCAAACAGTTTCCATTGCCCCTCACAGCTGTGTTTTATTGTCTGGGTTAATGAATTTGTTTTGTAGGGGCTTTTGGGTTCCCTGGAAGTGGTGAGGCAAGCCAGGCACGTGGGCAATGTGTGCGAGCCTTGTGTGTGATTTCAGTGATTTCTAGACGCTGGGCTGTGCTCTGAGAATCTGTCCTCGTACACACATCCACAATGACCCTTCCATACATACACACGGAGCAAGATCTTTTTCCCATAATCTGTTACATTCAGTCATTGTGGGCTGTAGCCAGTTGTCCACAGTTTCCATCTTGTAACTTCCTGAGATGCAAAGTACATAAAACATGATTTAAGCAGATTTGTTGCTCTCTAAATCATTGCATTATTAGGATGTTTATCACAGCATTAGCTACGGTCCGCCACGGTTCCACATCATTCCTGTATTTTTTTGGTTGATGCTAATGATGATAAAATGAGACTAGGTTTAGATCAGGCAGCTTTCAGCAGCAGGAGGTACCATAGTCAGAGAGCTATGAATAGATGATAGAGAACTTATCCCACAGCTCGGTCAATGGCAGTGTCACCTGGCAACATAGAAGTGTACACCCTCTCACACGTGTACACACACACACACACACACGCACACACACACACACACACACACACACACACACACACACACACACTCACACACACATTGTCCCCACATTCCCTGCATGGTAACTGTCTTTAGCCTTTTATTTGGGAGCCAGCACTGTAATGCTGCTTTATGACTGAACAGCTGACCCGAGTGTCTGGTTGTGTGTTTGCATGCTGTGTCTCAGCTCTGCTATGACGTAATTCTTCTTCGGGAAGGGTGAAAAAGAAGATGGAGAAAAGTCAGCTCCTCATTGCCTTTCTCTCAGCTCTCTCAACAGCCACATCTTCCTTTACACATCATATTGTTTTTCGTATTCACCACCTCAGTGCCATCCACCCCTTTATGTAGATTCACATGGCAAGATCTCATTGTTGGCATCAATATCTGCCTGTTATTCAGTTGCCATAATGACAACGTCGCATGTATTTTAGTATTGTCCCATCAAACTAGTAAAGAGCAAGAATAGAGAATATTTTTTTGAAAAAAGTTTCCCTCATCTTTCTCTCTCTCTCTCTCTGTCTCTCACTCACTCTCTCCCTCTCTGTCTCTCACTCTCTTCTCCCTCCCTTGACACACACACAGAGGCAGCTCGGGTCAGCCATGTGCTAGTACCACAGTGTGAGAGGAAAATACCCTCTGGTGCAGGGGAAGTCCCGCTCTGCTTCATCCTCTACCTCATCCTGGGATGATTACACGCATGGGAAACAGGGCTTTAGACTTCCTCCAACTCTCATGCACACGTACACACGCACACTGATGCCAGTGCACACACAAACACATGCTCAGGCAGTACCCAGGTTTAGGACAAAGTATCTGGCATCACAGGAAACTCTAAATTAGAATATTTAGTGGACACAAATGGGTAAAAACCTCTCACTCACCCATTACCTGCCTTATCTCTATTTTTTCTTTCATTCTCTCCCCCTTTCTCTGTGTTTTATTTCCTTTCTTTTTGCCCGCCCACTTTGTCTTTCCTTCTCAATCTCCTGCATCTGTTTGTCTTCATCCATCCTTCTTTCATTCCCCTTCGTTGTCTTCTCTCATTCATCTATTTTTTGCCCTTGTTGGACTGGCACAGTTCCTGGTTGGGCATGTTTTGGTTCATCCAGAGCTGGCTGGTTATTCTTCAAGCTGGCCGACAGTGGAAATGGTTCCTCCTCTAGACACCAATAGAATTTTATACTGTAGGGGTTTTGATATTACTTGACGTTTGTACGGAAGCACACAGGGTGCAGTCTCATGCAAAGCTAGACTAACGCTTCTCTTAGACAGTGAGGTAGATCATCAGCCAATTAAATCACTGCGAGGAGTCAGTGCGTTTGGACAGCAGTTGTAAGTTATTAGTGGGAGCAGTGTTTTCCTGATGCAGGTTTTTTTGTGCATGTCCTCCATACAGCCACACTGAACTACAGTTAAATGTGTCTCTGATGGTGAAGGTTTTTTAGAATAGCTGTTTTCTAGATTTTAAGTTGTCCATTGTAGAAAATAATCACAATAAAAAATTTTAGTTTGTAAAGACATCTCTGATGGCTCTTCCCTAACCCTTTTGGCACATTGCTAAATAAAATAAGGAAACCTTAAAACAAATAAAGACCTTTTTGCACCTCAGT